TAATAAATTCTAGCATAAAAGTTTCTTGTTAAGTACTGCAGTTCACAGGGAAAATCTGGGCATGTATAGTGCCAGGTTATGACTATATTGTCAGTCTTTAAGTAGTTCTGAGCATACTTTTTGAGAAGTTTTTAGTCATCTTTGAAATCATTTATGGTCTTGAAGTCAACATTAGAATGGGCTCATTCCAACTAAGGGCACTGGCCTATAGATTTCCATAAAATACCACAGAAGGAAAAATAGAATGATACAATTTCAGAATCGTGATAATTCACGTGAATGAGAAGCGAATAAAGTAAAGCTACCTAACCGCAGTAATAACTGACGCTGGCTCTAGCTGTCGAGGGGAGGGAAGTGGCAGGTGCTGGAGGAGGGAGGGGACATGCCGCAGGCCAGAAAGCCACAAGTGCAAAGGCTGGGCAGGCAGCTGTGGTTGTCTAGTGGAGGGTGGTGGATGCCACCAGATGGTTTTTACCCAAATGTTTCCCCAAGAATTCTCTTTCACTCACGCATTTCCACCTCTCTCTGCCTTCTTCCAAACTCAGACTCTGAACACATACACTTCGAGATGTAAAAATCCGCTGGTACTTACTTCTCCCCATTCAACATTTTTGGGCGGCAAAGGGTAGTGTGAGGGGATATCATAAGCTATTTCTTCCATGAACCACTTGAAACTTTTGCAGTTGTGATCTTCTCGAAATTTTTTCAGCTCCGATATATCCCCGTATGGTAATGCCTTTGATTCAGGGCGACTAGCGTAGAAGTAGTCTTTGTATTCATCCCACCAGACCTCGACAACTCTAACATAATTCTGTGAAAAAGGAAATTAATAGCATTATGAAAAATGTGAATAAATGTAACGCCATAAACAGTCTATGTTAGACGCATGAAATATGAGCAACGTACAACAAACTGATTGCAATAGGAGCTGGCCTTTAATTAAACAACAAATGCAAGTGAGCTAATGACTCGAATATGTTATCTGCCAAGGAGAAAAATGTCACGTACGCTCCACTAAACAGTGATGAACACAGAATGTGATATTCCTGAACTGGAAGGCCATATATTCTAAGATAATATATTCTATTCTGCTAATACAAGAAGAAATTGAAGCCGAGAGAGGGCTTATAAGAGCCTGGCTGGACACCGGTGCTGCTTCTTCTAGGACAATTTCTTTCTATTAGAACCACACTACTGTTATGTTTAGGGGAAAAAAATCTCATTTCTGAAACCATGAAAAACAATAGCTCTGTTTAATAAAACACATTTTTGTAGGTGACTTTCTTGATCTTGTTACAAATATATATATGTGATTAAATCAATATATATTTGCTATAGTTGGGATGTGGCTTGTCCTGATCAAAATCATGTTAAATGTGGCAGTCTTGGCAGCTGGGGCCTGGTGCGAGGTTTTTGGGTCATGGGGCAGATCCCTCATGGATAGATTAATGCCCTCCTGTGGGGATGAGGAGGTGAGTTCTTCATCTCACGGGAATGGATTCATTCCCATGAGAGTGGGTTGTTAAAAAGAGTCTGGGCTCCTTGATTTCTCTCCCTTGCTTCCTTCTCTTGCCAATGATCTCTTGCACATACTCACTCCTCTTCTACTTTCTGCCAAGAGTCGAAGGAGCTTGAGGCCTTCACCAAGTGGAGCTGCCCAGTCTTGAACTTTCCAGCCACCAGAAGTGTGAGCCAACGAAGCCTCTTTTGTTTATAAATTACCTAGCCTCTGGTGTTCTGTTGTAGCAACACTAAATGGACTAAAACAGTACTCAATCCAGTTCCTTGGTCTTCTACATCAATCATCAGCAAATTTTCTCTACAAAGAGCCACATAGTAAGTATCTTTGGCTTCTTGGACCATAAAGTCTCTGTGGCAACTATTCAACTCTGCTGTTGTAGCGAGAAGGCAGCTATAGACAATATGCAAACACATCAGTGTGGCTATGCTCCAACACAACTTTATTTACTAGAAAGGGCTGGATTTTGGCCTGTTGGCCAACAGTTTCTGACCCCTGTTTTACATATGGGGCAGGAATACCTAGCATTCAGATTAAGCTTTTTCTAGGCTACCAGGTAACTATCAAAGGATGAACATGCCCTCACATGTATATTGTCGCAAAAGCCCAAGGGTTTAAATAAAAGTTTCTTTTAAGTAGCAGTGTCCCAAAAGAACATATGATATTATTGCTAAGTATTCTGAATCCTTGCAAATTCATACAAAAGTAGACACAGGCCATGTCCTCTAGACACCAACAAACCTGAAGAGTCATGTGTACACATGTAAGATTACGGCAACAAAAGGAAGGAGCGATGAGTTGTTTGGGAGGGAGAGGGCCGGGGTGGCACTGTGTTGCTCAATATTGAGGGAGTGGTAAATGAGGTGGGAATGGTATTCGGGGGAAAGAGAAAAGCTAATGAAGTATAACAAATTATAGTGCATTTGGAGTCCTGCAGGCAGTTTATAATAACTGGAATGCAGCATTCACTGAGAGAAAACTTGCCTCAGTTTCTTCATTTTAAGATGAGAATAATTATAGCCCTTACCGCATAGTGTGTTGTGAAAATTAATGAGTCAATCTATATACAGCATTTAGAACTGTGCCTGTTACATACTAAGCACTCGATCAGTGTTAGCTATTATTAATATGATTTAAGAACTGTGAATGTTATCTTTGAGGTAACAGCCATGAAGAAGTTTTAAGCAAGTAACTGACGTTAGATTCAATTTGCAGGTGAGGCCGGGCGTGGTGGCTCACGCCTGTAATCCTAGCACTCTGGGAGGCCGAGGCGGGTGGATTGTTTGAGCTCAGGAGTTCGAAACCAGCCTTAGCAAGAGCGAGACCCCGTCTCTACTAAAAAATAGAAAGAAATGATCTGGACAACTAAAAATATATATATAGAAAAAATTAGCCGGGCATGGTGGCGCGTGCCTGTAGTCCCAGCTACTCGGGAGGCTGAGGGTTTGCGGTTGCTGTGAGCTAGGCTGACACCACGGCACTCTAGCCCGGGCAATAGAGCCAGAATCTGTCTCAAAAAAAAAAAAAAAAAATTTGCAGGCGAGTGACACTGGCGGTGCGTGGAGGGTGCACTGCGGGGGTGGACTGACGGCGCAGAGCCAGGTGGGAGCTACTCAGTGCACACGGGGGGGAGAACGGCACGACGGAAGAGCCACTCTGAGGGCTTGGTGAACAGGAAGGTGAGGGAACAGCCCTAACATGCCCCCTAAAGTTTCACTGCTGGGCAAACACAGAATACAGGGAAAGGAATCGCTTTTGAGGAAAAGTTAAAGTTCAGCTTTAACTGTGTTGACTGAAACACTGAGGGACATCTAAGAGGATAATTCTAGAAGGCAACTGGCTATAGAGGCCCGGGGCTGAGAGGAGACATATAGGCTGGATAAACAGACCCGGCCCCTGGCACCCTGGTGGCTCAAGTGGATGGTGTTAAACTGGAGAAAAGAAAACACCTGGCACGCGGTAGGCATTCATTAAGTGTATGCTAATTTCACATTTATTGAGAAGTTTTTATGATATCTACAGTTAATTTTCAGAGTGGATAAATATTTCCTTCTCAGCTCTTTTCCTATTCCCTGCAGGACAGAACTTGAATCAGGTTGGCTGTTCATCAGTTCTTTGTGACTGTGGGTCCAACTCCAAGGGAGTTCCCTGCAGTGTCAGTCACGCCTGAGGTTGACATAGTGCTACCTTTGTCTATCACAGACATTCAAATCTCATCCCCTGCTGTAGCTGGGCCTCCGTTTGGCCAATTAGAACGATGTGTTGGTTCATAAAGCCTTCCTGTCTCTGCTTCCGTTATCCATTTCCCTTTTGTGAACTGTCCTAAGTTGCATCTGCAGCCCATAATAAACTTCCTTCTGCTTTTAAGGACTCCAGAAAATGAGGGGCATTAGAGCCACACACCTCTTAGAATTTACGAAAGCTGCTCAACCAAGGGAACTTCCAAGTTGCTTTGCCAGCGATAGAGGCTTTCATCCTCCAAGGAGTGGGACGTTTGGCCTTCCATATGAAGCTTCCTTGGTTTGTTCCAGAAATAAATGTCAGCCCTGAGAGTGACTAGTCTGTGAAGAAATGCTGGAGAACCGGGTGACCCTGCCATGCTGGACCACCCAGATCAGCATTCACTACTACACTGCTTCTAACACTGCCCTCCCCAGCCAAACATGACTGCTCCACTGGGACAAGAGGACTGTGATACATTTTGTTTTAGGAACCAGGAAGAGAGAACCACAATGCAGAGAATGGTGGGAATCAATAGAAGTAACTAGAATTACAATTTATTTTCTAATAACTGTCAGTGGGAAAGAAACTGGGGAGGATGCTCATCCCACTGGAGCAGTCCTGTGCAATTTAAGTTAAACTTGCATTTTATTTATAAGTAGAATTTTTTTTTTAATTTTAAAAATGTTTTTAAAACTAATATTTTTGTCCATAGGTCCATGATTTTTGATAAAATACAGATTATCCATCCTAATTCTACACCTATGGTTTAGGTTGGAGATAAGATTTTTATTAAATAATCATAGTGAAATAATCATTAAAATAAAACAATTTGGATGTCCCAATGAAAAGTGTCAGGGTGGAATTTTCCTCTATTTTATGTGAGAGAGATGGAGAATTTGGAGACAATGCAATAAAAGAAAGGATATTCACATATCCTTTATTTATAAATCTTTGAGGGACAAGAGATATCAACCTTTTATAAACACTGTTCAAAAATTTGATTTTGTTTACAACACAAAGTCCTACTATGATTACCTTAATTTTTAAAAACCAAGCAAAAATAACATTTTACTCATGTGTGAAAAACAAGCTGGTATTTCCTTTTAACTACTTCCCAACACATGTGTCAGTCCTTTTTGAATTTATTCGAGATATATTCATGAAGAACATTCAATACAGGAAACTTAGTAAGAATGTGGTGCAATGGGAGGCGAAGTTCCCAAGACGGCAGAGTAGGAGACACCAGCCTTCATTCCCCCAACAGAAAACCCCAAACACAGACAGCTGTTCACAAACCAAAATAGCCCAGAGAGAGCTGCAGGGCCCATTAAAGAATCCGCAGCAACAAAGTGGAGCAAAAGAAACATCCACACAGGAAAGGTCACTGGTGAGATCTGCATGCCGGAGACACCAGGACATGGCTAGGAATAGACAAGAAAGGCAGATGCTATCTGTATCAGGGGGCACCACCGTGGTTTCCAGAGGCTGGACATCGGCATCTCTTGCCACTGAAGTAGACAACAGCCATTCTCCTGTGAAACCCCAGAGAGGGTGAGGCAGCTGCACACCCCTGCACTACCCAAGAAGCAGGTGCTTTTGAGCCAATTTAGGAGAGGATCTGCCACATCTCCCATGCCCCAACAAGTCCTGACCCTGAAGCCATGGCCATTCTGCTAGTGCCACACTGCAAACCTGGGCTCTATGGCTGCAATGGACCCACCCTCATCTCAGACACTGAGCCATCGCCATGGCGAGCTAGTTTGCATGCTGGGCCCCAGAGTCAAGCCCTCACTGCACATGCCCCAGCTCCAGGACTGGCTCAGCCACCAAAGAGAGTTAGAGCCCACCCCAACCCAGCAGCTGCTCTAATCTACACACACCTGTGCTCCCACCATTCTTGGCTCCCCAGCTGCTTTACAAGCATCTGAGCCTTGAAAACTGCTACCAATGTGGCAGCAAAGTACCTGTGCCCTGAGCACCAGCTCAGCCACCATACAGAGCTAGGTCCCACTATGACCCCAGAGCTGCTCTAAGCATGCCTGTGCTCCTATTCTCAGCTACCCTGGCTG